TTTCTGTAACAGCCTCCTAGGAGGAATGTAACCACAACTCTCTATTTACAATGCAATGAAATGCATGCTCTCATGCGTTTTCTCGAAAAAAAAAATAGAACTGCTGGTGACTAGTATGTGACGCAAATATCTTCACATCAAACAAAATAGAGTATGATCCACGATCAATTCTGAATTTATCTTCTAAATATTTATAATTTGGGACTACCAAACAAGCAGTATGCATTTTCTCTATTCACCCATGTAAGAAGTTCGACGTTTAACAGTGAACAAGGCTCTTCCAATCTCAGCTACCTTAACTAAATAAAAATAGAAAGTCTAATCCTAGGATCACATCAATACGAATCATGTGTGTCAATAAGATGATCTTTGCAGGCAGTCCTAGCTCAGTTGGTGTGAGCCGTGGGTGTAAACTGCATCGGATGGATTAGGTTCCTCTTCGACTTGGATTTGGGTGCTTAATTCTTATTTGAAAATATACATGGTTCATCCTAGGTATTATTTTATTTTCAAGAAGATAATCCTCCTGAGTGTCAAATGGAATCATGGGTATATATACAAAAGGTTTGTGTTAAAATAATTTGTTGGCATGACAAGTTTCACCCTACCAGCAATGGTAGTTGGCAGACACATGACATCTCTAGTTAGTATCTAAAAGCGGCGACAAATCGTGCAGAACATTTTCACACTGTTGGCTTTAAGTTGACCATTTGTTATAGCATCAAGCTTAGACCATGACATTCAGAAAAGAATCAAAGTATACCAGCACATACCAATCTCACAAGATTTTTTTTCCAATTAATAAAACAAGTTTAGCAAGTGTAGTGTTTTATCCCAAATCAAAACAGACATGATCCAAGAGGACTTGTTTCATTGATCACCACAAAAGACTACGGGTAAAAAGAAACATTTACATGTTTTCTGCATAAGAAGGAAAGGATAAGCTCATATTTTGGTTCAAAATGAGGCGTCTGTTAAGCTTCATGCACTAGCGAACGCAATCAAAAGTCCGAACTAATGGAAGGGGCTAGGCAATCCACATATACACTTCAACAGCCCCTCTCACGTGTGACGCGGGAAGTCAACACGTGAATAGACTCAGAAGTATGGCTCAAGAGGCCTATACGTGGACACAGAGGGGGGCAGCAACAATTTTTGGATAAACCGCGAAAGCCAGGACTTGAACTCAAGACCTGACGCCCTGATACCATGTTAAGCTTCATGCACTAGGCAACGCAACCAAAAGTGTGAACTGATGGAAAGGGCTAGGCAATCCACGTATACACTTCAACAGCGTCTACAAAGTTCAAGAAGAGCACACATAATTTTCTGCACGAAAACAAAATATTTTTGAAGTAAACATCAAACAAGGCGAGCTAAGTTTTCTGATTTAACCTGCAAGATCGTTCAGGTTTTATCCACTGAATCCATGGCAGAAATAATTGCAGGTACAAACAATGTTGCACTTGACAATATCACATACTGATATTTCTAGATATCCAAATGTTTTAGGTACAAACAACCAGAGTCTATGCACTTTCCGATGATGGTGTGTTCTGTTCGATGCCTGCGAACTATCATGATGTAGAAAGGCTACAAGGAGATTTAAACAAATAGGTTGCGTGGAAACATAATGATTTGGATCCCACCGGCCATATCCTAGCTGTTTTGTCTTTTGTCCTATTATTTCTTTTCGGTGTTAGTGCAAGCATAACGAACAGCTGCATATATGTACAGGGTATAACTGTTCGTTCAACAATAGTGGCGTTTTTTTCCTTTCTGATCCCTGACACTATATATCCCTATCCTTATCGCACCTTTTATCAATCCATAAAATGGATTAGACTAAACCCACTAATCATTTCCCCACTTCCCCTAGCATACAGTCCACACGACACCTACATGTATACATTCCTTTCGTATGCCAGATCCACAGTTCAGCCAACATTCTTCACGATTACACTTTTCTATCTATCTAGACTATGCATAATTCCGTGAGAAACATCTACTACAGCGTAAACTTGTAATATTCCAAATTTCTCTAGAGCAGCCACCGGAAAGCACAGGGGCATCACACGTGCACCTTGTTGAGCAAATCAGCAGCAGGCAAGTTGCTACCGACATATTCGAAAAAAAGTTGCTACCGACATTGAACAGAACATTTTATGGAACAAATTTTGCTATTGTTGCTGGAATAAGATGATAGCCACATTAAAAGTGGCGCGCAGCCACCACGCCGGCAAGGGGAGCTAGAGGATACAAGTGCGGCAATGGAGAATCCTACGACTTGAATCTGATGAGAGAGGAGTGCCGAGCGAATCCTCACCATGCCACCCACTACCGCTGCACTTGTCGGCAGAAGCGATCGCAGGGCAAGGAGAACCCGCGAGCGATCACACGGCGAAGGTGCGATCCCAAGTCGGCCCCGCAGGTTGGAGGCTTCGGCTGGCATCCTGCCGCCGGGAACGAGGTCGACGCGGTGGCCGTCGTCGACCCCTGAGGATACGGGCCCAGGCCCCGAGCCTGCTGCCCTCCGGTGGCCCGTTTTCCCACCTTCCACGACGTTCTGAGGCCCGTTTTCCCTGCCCCTTAAGCCCAGTACCGAGAGCTCTTCTCTTGGACGCTAGATGTCGAACGAATGGTGGCATCTATTATTAAAGAACATAAATCTCAGGAAGAAACTATACTTATAAGAATACATGTTTTAACAAAACCGGTAAGTTCGTCTTCACTGAACGTCCACACGACCGCAACCGGGGCCTTATTCTGCTATGTTTTGGACACGCCGAGTTCCTCGAAGTCACCGATGCCTAGTATGTCTCAAGACTCGGATCGACAAGAACCACGACATCCGTCGATCGCCAAGTACCCCTTCATTTCGTCGAGACCGGCAAGTCCGAAGACCCCAAATACCACGACACCGATGACATGAATATCTACGAAAACTCGTGCTACGATAAACATGTACCACTACCGTCGTCGAGATCGCGAGAACCTCTACCGTCGATCCTAGAGCACGCGAGAACGACTACTTCCACTACGAACGTCTCGAGAACGTCTACTTCCCCTACACCGCATCGAACTCGAACCGCTCTGAGAATGCTCCTTTGGGAAGGTATAACCCCGAGACGACCGTCCGAGAATGATTACTTGTGTTGTATGTAATGCTCGCGTTTGCACCGTGCCCGACATGTGTCTTGCATGTTCCCCATTGCCATACCGTCGTCTTATGGGACATCCGGTAACCGGGATCACCCCTCATCTCTAACTCGGTCCACACATCCGCACACTTATTCTTTTCACCGGCATCTCTATCGAGTTACCGGAACCGATATGTTGCCGTGGCATCATTTTTGGATTCGTTGCCGTGGCACCCCTTCCGTTTCCGCCACGATG